GATATAACATCATATGATATTTAAAGTTTTCTAGCAAGAAGGTTTCAGATTCAGTGGCCAGGGGCGCAAGTAAAGATGTACATTCGAAAGATTTTATTTTGAGTCGACGGATCGGAAAGCACCGCATTCTCGATTGTTACGGCTTACGTTGCTCAGAAACAAGAAGGTAACCTGCAGTTGAATAAAAGAAGCCAAGTGCACGGTACAGTTATTTTCAACATCATATGGTTGAAAGAAAATTACCATAATATACTTTTAAAATAAAGCCAACGAGGTCAGAAACAACTATTAAAGCGGAAAACGTCTGACTCCATGCTCTTGAACTACCAAACGAACGACTGCAATGATGCTGCACATGATCTTACTCCTGGCTGAGATATGCAATCATTCCTTAACACAGAAATTAATTATGTTGTCGCCTCGGTCAACAATGAAGATTATGTTTACGTTAAATCGGTTGTTATTATCTAAAGTACAGCTAACTCTAACCAGTGGTCATCATGGTTGGCCTCGATAGCTCTGGAGTGTTTTCTATCTTCCACCCTTCGAGATGACAGCGCCTTCGCAAGATAGCATCACTAGAATTAAGGTTGATTCGATGCACTGCAGAACTGATATCTCTGATAGATATCGCAAAATAGAAGTAGGATGGTATTTTTTAATGAAAGAACATTAACAATGTGGTCGTCTTGAAAACGACGGATTTCATGCAATTTGCTCGCAATGGAATATTTATTCTGAATCGACATTCTAATTTTTATTGAATAGGTAGCATTTAAGCTGAACAAAAAAATGCTTATTATCTTTCGGTTAGAGTCATTTTTAAATCTGAAACACAAGCGCTTTATCACATTTTTAGTAATTCGTTATCACTGAATTATCTAACGGCGTGAATCTTAGTGCACTGTATTCTGATAAATATATTATAATTTTAAATATGCTATGTTTATATTATGACTAAAAATATAGCATGGCCTTGCATCGAATTTCATGTCGGGTGCCGTGATACATTCAACTTTAATCGAATTAATGCATTTTCACAAGGGAATCTTGTTCAAGTCTCTTTTCGTCAGTTAAAACAAAATATATTCATACTGTTTATTCTAAGATGTCGCACGTTGATTCAGTTGACATGGCTTGTCATGTCAATCGTTGGCTACGTCTTTCTTTATAGTAACCGTCCATTACAAATAACCCCTTGTATTCAGGAAGTTTGGCAGACCTTCACCTCTCATTCCTTTAGTCATGAGAGAACTGGCTAATTCTCATCGACTGTGCTTCATCCAACAGTTGCACTGCTATCATCGATGATAAACGTTGCATGCACCGTGAGTTTAGTTGTTTGCATTTTCAGCAAGTTCGAGTTCCAACACCGCAGCTGTGGCGTTGGCTTGTGTGATTTTTATTCAATAACTCTTCTGAGTATTTAGTAAATTACTAAATTTACACGTCACATTGAGCAGCATCCATTATGTAG